TTCAGTATTTCAACTCTCTTCCATAATGCTAATGACTTTAAAGATATGCATCTTTAGCTCAGAGTTCCTTCCTGACCCCCAGATCTGCATATTCAACCAGCTCCTGGCTATCTCTGCCTCCATCTTCACAGGCACCTCAATCTCAACATGCACTAACTAGAGCATGTTTTCCCCAAATCTGTTCCTCCTACATTTCCCTTCTGAGTGAACAGTGACACCCTTTTAATAAAGGCCTGGATGTCATTATTGAGGCACCTTCTCCTTCACAACCTTACTTTAATTGATCAATTCTGTACTAATCTCTCTGAAATCCATCTAAAGTTTTCCCAGAACCTAAGTAACTGCCTTAATTTAGGCTTTGTCATTCCATCCCCTCCTTCGCCTGACTCGACTCTGGGAAGCTTTTCCAGGCCATCTCCATCTGAGTTAAGTGCCCTCTGAGAGGGCCCCTAAGCACTATGCATTGTTCCATTATAACATCTGAAAGTGAGATCGACTACTTACTTATCTGCTTCCCCCATTAAACTGCAAGTTCCTTGAGGACAAAAACTTTGTCTTTGTAGCCACACTGCCCTAGTATCCCAGGGCTCAATAAATGTTTCTTAAATGATGAATAAAGCCAGTGGGCTGAGCTTCTGTACTGCTAAATATCTGATTGGCCTACTCTGTAACATATCCGGTCGGTCAGAAAGAACAATCCCTAATTAAAACACACTCTTACCTTCTTTGTAAGCCAGTATGTAAGTTGACGTTTAAACCGGTACTTTTCTTTTTTCAAAGAGTGCATCATTAATTCCAAAGAAATCCGACAGATCAAAGCCACAGTGAAAATTAAAACATTTAAGTAGAAGGAAAATAACACTAGCAAGAAGCACACAATAACCTCAAACTCAGAATAAGAAATGAGGTAATACTTCAACATTACAGAAAGAGCATAACCTGGCATTTCAATTCAACAAACAAGTAATCTTTATTTTCTTTGCAACAATACATGTAACTTCTCTAGAATATCTATATATCTCATAAGGTAAAGAGTATCTCCTTTGTCCCCCAACATGTTTCACGTTGAAGTGGTTACTTTTTAAAACCAGTTACTTAACAGTGACTCAACTACTGTTATTAAATATGGCTCTACAAAAATTTTGGTATGGAGGAAATAAAGGGATGTTGGGGTCAGACCTGACTGGAATGCTAGCAACTGCCCAAAACTTGGGAAAATGGCTTAACTTCATGAAGTGTCAATTTTCTAATTTCTAAAATGTGATTACTATCTACCTCATGGAAAGTAGTGATAAACAAGTGATACATGCATAGCAAATACACTGTAAGAGTTAATTTACCTTCTCCAACTCCCCACAGTGGGAAGTATTTTTTCTTTTTAATGCTACTTGGTTATATATATATTATATATATCATGTAAGGTGAAAGCATTTTAATTTAAAATGCCTTGAGTTCCAAATAGTTTTAAGTCTACTGTTAAGGTACAAAACAGTTTTTCACTGGAAAAAAAAAGGGGGGGGTCTAAATGGTAGATGAAGTGAAGGCTAATCCCTGAAACCCATCAAACACGTAAGGCTACTGAACAACAGTGACCACCACAACCCAGGTTTTGGCTGCTCAGCTTATGTCCCAGTGATGTGGAACTGCCCACAGAAAGAACCGCCAGGGAGTTGGGACAGTCAGGAAGGGATGTTGGGGAGATCTGGGCCTTGGTGGGGTAAGAATCCAAGGCAGAGAAGTTCTGTAAGGAGACAGACTTCTGGGTGCTCTGGTAGGTGAAGATTCTCAGCAACAGCAGTCTTTGCTGCTTTTATTAAAATTAAGTCTATCATTATTTGTCTTATATAAAACAGGAAACCTTAAGCTTTGAGAGGTTGGGAATACAGTTCCTCAAAGGGCAGCCCCATTCATAAGGAAGGGCTCTGTTAAGTTAGAATTTCACGTTTGGGGAAATAGGATTTCACTCTCTATGTATTTCCAAAATCTTAAAAACAAACCATCTGATTGTCAGGCTCTACTGTGTTCTACAAGTTAAAAAAAAAAAAAGCTTTCCTTATAAAAATTCTTATAGAATGGCTAAAATCTAAAAGCACCAACAACACCAAATGCTGGTGAGGGTGTGGAGCAACAGAAACACTTATTCATTACTGGTGGGCATGCGAAATGGTATATATACTTTGGAAGATGATCTGGCAGTTTCTTACAAAACTGAACACATTCTTACCATGTGATCTAACAATTGTACTCATTGGTATTTACCCAAAGAAGTTGAAAACTATGTCCATAAAAAAACCTGTACATGAATGTTTATAGCAGCTTTATTCATAATCGCCAAAACTTGGAAACAACCAAGATGTCTTTCAACAGATGAATGGATAACTAAACTGTAGCACATCCATACAATGAACTATTTTCATCAGGCCATGGAAAGACATGGAGGAAATTTGAATGCGGATCACTAAGTAGAAGAAGCCACCCACAAAGGCCACAATACTATATCATTCCACCTACACCACATTCTAGAAGCAAAACTATGGATATATGGAAAATACCAATGGTTGCCAGGGTTTGGGTGGCAGCAAGAAGAAAGGATGGGGAGGAAAAGGAAGAAGCAATGACTAGGTAGAGCACAGGGGATTTTCAGGGCACTGGAACTATTCTGTATGATACTATAAAGGTAGATAACACATCATTATGTATTTGTGAGAACTCACAGAATGTACAAGATAAAGAATGAATCTCAAAAGTAAACTATAAACTTTGGGTGACAATGATGTGTGAATACAGGTTCCCTGACGGTAACAAACAGTAATAAAATGTTAAAAGAAAAGGCTGTGGCGCAGAGTTGGGGTACATAGGGAAACTCTACTTTTCACTAAATTTTACTATAAAAACTAAAATTGTTAAAAAAAATAAAGTCTATTTATAAAAATATTTGCCTAGTTCAAGAGTTAATATACCACCACCATAACTTAAATTATTAGAGTTTTCTCTTCTTACCCCAAAGAAAAACATGCTGCTTTAACTCATAACCCGAAGTAACTTCCCAGTCTTCAGTAGGAATACTTAGATCATCACGCATTCTCTCTCCTGTTCTCATAAAACCTCAGGCTGCCATACATCCTTTCCAATGAACTGCCACTTTGTGGACTAGGACAGCAGCTGTTTCTTACCCTCATCACCTTCCACAAAACCACCTAGCATCAGAGTCAGGGCAGACACACAGGTGAAGGACGATGGCATGAGGAGGACCCCAGGACTCTCCTCTGGCAGGAGTATGTATAAGTGTATAGCCACGACTATGCTATTAGAATAAATACTCAAATTCTGTTAACTGTCAGAATGTTAGGATGATTACTCCTTCATTACTTAAAGAGAAGGCGTTCAGTAATTCTTCAGGTTTTCCCCTCACAGAGTTTTCCTAACCACCTCATATAAAGTCAACTCACCCAGAGCCTCTCTCCTTATCCTACAGTGATCGCTTTCATGGCCCTTATTAAAGATCCTTTTCTTTTTTTTTTGTTTACTTCTTTATGGTCTGTCTCCTCTGGGCGGGGGGCGGGTTATTTTGTGAGAGGCTGGGATCCAGTCTCTTCTTTACAGCTCTATGCCAGGCACACAGTTCAACCTTCAGTTTAGTGAATGCCTAAATAATGGGGATGCCAAAAGGGGAGAACAGACAGATAAGGGCATTTTCCCACACTCCAGTTTGGTAATATGGACTCTCTATCCAGATGTTGAGCAGAATACATTACATGATATTTTGACATTTTCTTCACTACATCATTCATCATTTCAATAAAGTCTGTAGGACATTTTTGCAGACTGTTTTGAATATAAGGCCTGCCACGTCATCATGAATGATTTTGATGAGGATGAAAATGGAAAGTAGATATCCCAGAGAATATTAAATTCTATTCTTGTAAATACATATACCCATTTAAAAATTCCTATCAGAGTTCTGCTCTTAGTGATTAAAAAGATTATCATATCTTAATGATCCTATTATATATCATACTCTTTCTTTTTACCTTTATTAGATTTTCACAAATCTTGCAAGGTAAAAATTATCTTCATTTGACTGGTGAAGAAAACTGAGGGTCACAGAGATTAAGTAACTTGTCCATGGTCCAAAACTTATAAAAAGGAAGGCAGATTCAAATTCAGGTCTGACTCCAAAAGCCAGTTTTCCCACAAGGCTAAGTAGCTTGCCTTTGTTCTAATACAGACTTAGTTTCACAAAATTCCTACCTCTCCCCGTGTTGCAAAGTTTATGATTATATGGCACACAGATCAATATTCCCCAAATTTATATGCAGTTGTATATGTGGGTAAGGCATTCAGTCTCTTAATCCATAGAACTTCATGTAATTCTTATTTAACACCTGCTGGAGCAACTATTTTTGAGATACAGATGCCTCTAAGACCCTCCTACCAGGAGCAGACACTGTTTAAATTCCTACATATTAAAACAGAAAGGCAAGGGCACCTGGGTGGCTCAGCTGGCTGGGCTTCCGACTCTTGATTTTGGCTCAGGTAGTGATCTCATGGGTCATGAGATCAAGGCCTGTGTCGGACTCCCCTCTCAGCAGGGAGTCTGCTTGAGATTCTCTCTCTCCCTCTCCCCCTCCCCCCACTTGCACGCTCTCTCTCTCAAATACATAAATCTTTGAAAAAAACAGAAAGGCAAAAGGAGAGAGGCTAATTCACTGATATGATATTTTTCCATGTAAAGGAAACTACTAGGTCTTACACCACTTGATTTTTTAAAAATCCTGTCTGACCCTTAGGAAGCTTTAGCCAGACTTACACAAGGGGGAGGGACAGGACAAATGAAACATTACAAGAAAAAGAACATAATCATTAGTACCTGCCATGAATAGGAAGACCGCTCGTTGTTAAACAGTATACTTTAAATAAATGGTGTGTGAATTAACTCCAATAAAAAGAGATCAGAACGTCCTCTGTAACCTGGAAACCATACTCCCTGGGCTACAAGGATGCTGCAGTCAGAACCACTACTCCGAGCCTCAAGAATGTTCCAAGCGTCGTCTGTTATGATTGTGGCCAAGGCACCACAGAAGAAAAAGATGTGCTGGGGAATCCTGTCAACTTCTTCCCTGGTGTATGCAGTCTTGGCAGAAACACAATGTAGTGGAGTGAGCACCAAACTTCCAAGGACACTGGGGCAAGCAGTTCCAATTATTAAGTGATAAAATGGCAGCCAAAGTCCCTGGGGATTCTGTAAGCCTGACACTAGAAAAGAGACTGCAGCCAGAAAACATCATGATGGCTTGCTCGTCTTCGAGCTCTTAACCTCTGTAGCAGCTGCATTTATCCATGTGCAATTAGGGGTGTGCACATTTATGTGTGTTACATCATAAAACAGAGGATCAACATCAATGCACAAGCCCTTTTAGAAACCTAACAAAAGCCAGGACGGTGCAGACTGAAGAAAGCACACTCCCTTTGCTATAGTGTATGTGCAGCTTTTCAAATTCTTGCTCTTTTCTCTCTTTTTTGGAATGCAAAGGAAAGAAATCAGGTGAAACTGCTGATTAATAATATAGCTAGAAGGAAGCTGAGGACTGAGATGGGAAACAGTGAGTATTCACTTACACAGAAACTCTCGAGTTTTTTACAACATGCTGCTGAATCATGTGTGGAAAGCTACTAAGAGTCAGCACCTGAGTGTCCAAGTTTGTGCCCCTTTTGTATAAAGCTCTCCTTCCACATTCATATCAAGAAATGTAGCCTGGATTTTTTCCTAAAGAATTTTAAGCTAATAATAAGTAAGCTGGGACCATTAAAGAAAATTCTCAGAAATCTCTGTATCTATCCTTAAGGATAGGCACTCTGGTATTCAAATATGTTGTGCCAGAGACCTTCCCTCTTATCATAAATTTTAATTTACAAGGCCATGGCAACAGTCCTAATGAAGATTAATTACTGGAGTACATTCCATAAAATCTGTCCAGCTTCCTTCTGATGTGGAACTCCCGCATATGAAATGGAACTGAAATGCATTGTGTCCTTAATGCTTCCTTTCTAGCTGCTCAAGACTAAAAACAGATTAAAAAAAAAAAAAATGCAGTCAAAGAAAAGACTGATTGGCTCAGCATTCATTATAAACATAAGTAAAAGAAGAAAAGATGCCCTCTTAGGTCAAAGTTCTAATAAAGAGAAAAGGCTGGGGTTGGTGAGAGGAAATAGAATGCAGAGGACTGCAATCACATGAATGGTCTATATGTTTCCTTCTGAAAAACGCACATGTGTCATTTAGGATTGGCAAAAAGTTCTGGTCCCATCTCTATTTTTCTGGTTCATAAATCCACTTGAGAATTCAATGAAAATAAATGGCCCCCCTTTCCAGATAAATGCATGGGGAGTGTCTATGCGGTATGCACGCCCACACCATCATTTTTGCATACAATTTCAGGATGGCCAAGATTCCTCTAAAGCTCATCTATAGATCCTAGATTAAGAATCCCTGCTCTGCAGTAATTTAGAAGGCAAACATAATTATTTCTCTTCTCTCAGATTAAAAAAAAATCAAGCACCCATACAAGCTGGATTTATAGTAGGTATTTTTCTCACTGCTAATGTGTATGTAGAACATTTTGTGCTTCCCAGAAACACATCAGCTTTTCTCCTCAAAGTACTTTTCACTTATTTGTTTTCAATATCCAAGATCATCCCCTACTCAAATATGTCCCCAGTGTTCCAGATATCTGGAAAAGTTAAGTTTTACGGTTTAGTCTTACTCCTCATTAGCCTTTCAAATGATTTCAAGAGAGAGAAAATCCAATCTTCAGCAAAGCTGTCCCTTAAAGAATTACTTACAGAAGGGAGGGGCTCAATATGGTGGCACAGCAAGATCCCAATCTCACTTCTTCCCATCGTCACAACAAATTTACAGTTACATATGAAATAATCTCCTCTGAAAAAAGACCTGATAACCAGATGAACAGAGCCTCCACAACAAAGGATAAAAGAGTAGTGCTAACACAGGTAGGAGAAGAGACACAGCGTTGCCAAAACAATACAAAACAAACCAGCAACTAAGCCCAGGAGTGGTGATGCATAATTGGGAGGAATCTCACAGATACAGAACTCCTCCCAAAGAAGTCAGGGGTGTGTGCTCCACATCAGGCAGCCAACCCCTAGATGCTGCACAGGAGAGATGAGCCCCCAAAATGCCTATGAAAACCAATGGGGATCATATGTAGGAAAACTAGGGAACAGAGAACATGCTCATAAAGGGCTTGACAAGAGACTCCCTCACTCTGGGACCTGGTACAAAGATACCAGTTTGAATACTGCCAGACCATATGTGAAGGAGACCAACTTACTGATCTCGAAGAGTCTGCCAGAGAGGAAGGAACTTGGTTAGGACTCTCCAGGGACACAGACATTGGTAGAGGTCATTTTTGAAGCCTTAATTCTAATTTCCTGGTGCCAGTGCTGGAAGGCACCATTTTGGAACTCTTCCTTGAGCCTGTTGGCAATGCAGGGTGCCCACTGCTGAGTGCCCTGCCCACCTCCATACCACAGCCAGGCCAGGAAAGAACCCTGCCCACCCCATGCCACAGCGGCACAATACAGCTAAGGCTGCACAACATCCCCACACACTCCTGTGCCATAGCCATGGCCCCACCACAGTAGGCGGGCACATGGAACTCATACAGGGGAGTGCTCCCTGAGTTCCTGGTGCAAGTGGCCAGGGGGGATATTGTCTCTGAGCTCCATGAGACATCTCCTATACAAGGGCACACTTTTTTTTTTTAAGATTTTATTTATTTATTTGACAGAGAGAGCAAGAGAGCACAAGCAGGGGGAACAGCAGAGGGAGAAGCAGGCTCCCCGCCAAGCAGGGAGCTCGATGCGGGGCTCAATCCCAGGACCCTGGGATCATGACCCGAGCCGAAGGCAGATGCTTAACCATCTGAGCCACCCAGGCACCCCTACAAGGGCACCCTTTCTGGGATGGGAGAGGTAGCTATTTTACCTAATACGTAGAAACAAATACAGAGAGGCAAATGAGGAGATAGAGGAATAGAGGAATATGCTCCAAATCAGAGAACAAGAAAAAGCCTCACTAAAAGACCTTAATAAAACAGAGATAACTGATCCATCTGATAAAGAGTTCAAAGTAATATTCATCAATGAACTTGGGAGAAGAATGGATGAACACAGTGAGAACTTCAAAGGAGACAGAAAAATATAAGAAAATATCAAGCAGAAGTCAGAGAGCTGAAGAATAATACCTGAACTGAAATATAAGCTAGAGGGGTTCAACAGCACACTGGATAAAGCAGAACAGATCAGCAAGCTGAAATATCAAACAATCTAATTCACCTAGACAGTGCAGCAAAAAGAAAAAGAATTTTTTTAAGAGAAGATACCTTAAGGGACCTTTGTGACAACATCAAGTGGAATAACATTTGCATTAGAGGGGACCCAGAAGGAGAAAAGAGAGAAAGGGCCAGAAAACTTATTTGAAAACAGAATGGCTGAAAACCTCCCTAATTTGAGGAAGGCAACAAAATTTCAGATCAAGGAAGCCCAGAGGGTTCCAAAAGAGATGAACCCAAAGAGATCCACACCAAGCACTTCTCTTCAATGAAGTGGCCAAGTGGCTCAGGGGTGGTGGCCTTGTGGACTCAGAGATACAGATCTTTATGAAGACCCTGACAGGCAAGACCACCACCCTCGAGGATGAGCCCAGTGACATGACTGAGAATATCAAAGCCAAAATCAAAGACAAGGAGGGCATCCTGCCTAACCAGCAGCATCTGACTTTGGGGAGCAAATAGCTGGAGGATAACCACACTCTCTCAGACTATAATATCCAGAAAGAATACACCTTGTACTTGGTGCTTCACCTGCAGGGTGGCATCACTGAGCCCTTCCTCTGCCAGCTGGCCCAGAAATGTAACTGTGACAAGATGATCTGCTTCCAGTGTTATGCTCGCCTACACCCCTGTGCTGTCAATTGCCACAAGCAGGGTGGCCACACCAACAACCTGCACCCCAAGAAGAAGGTAAAATAAGGCCCTCCCACTGGCTCTTCCTTTGCTCACATGGTAGCCTCCTGCCTGAGCCCCAAGGCCCTGGGGCCTCACTAAAGTTTCCCTTTCAATGACTGGAGGGTGGGGAGGGGTAGTTAAAGATAGAATCTCAAAAGCAGCAAAAGAAAACAACTTGTTAAGTACAAGGGAAAGCCTATAAGGCTTTCAGATTTTTCAGCAGAAACTTTGCTGGAGTAAGAAAGTGCCATGACATATTCAAAGTGCTGAAAGGAAACATTTTCCAACCAAAAAATTCTCTACTCAGCACAGTTATCATTCAGAATTGAAGGGGAGATCAAGAGTTTTCCAGATAAACACAACAGCAAAAAAAGAGTTCATCACTATTAAACTGGACCTACAAGAAATGTTAAAAGGACTTCTTTAATAAAGCTGAAAAGAAATGACACTAATTAATAACAAGAAAATATATGAAAGTAAAAATCTCACTGGAACAGGTAAATATATACAAAAGACAGTAGATCAATCATTTATAAAGCAAGTAGGAAAGTTAAAAGAGAGTAGTGGTAAAAGTACCAAAACTATAATAATTAGTTAAGGGATGCATAAAAATATAAAAATGTGACATCAAAATACAAAATGTGTAAGGGGGATTAAAAATATAAATTTTTCTACTGTGTTCAAATTTAAGTTCCTATCAACTTAAAACCAACCATTATATACAAAGGATGCTATATGTGAACCTCATCGTAACCACAGAACACACGAAAAAAAATGAGAAAAAAATCTAAACATAATACTATAGAAAGCCATCAAACCACAGTGAAAGAGAGAAAAAAGAAAGGAATAGAGGAACTACAGAAAAGCCAGAAAATAAAAAGAAAGGAATCCATGCCCAATACTAAAGAAATTCATCATCAATCACAAGGAAGGAGGGCAAGAGAAGAAGGAACAAAGAAGAACTACAAAAACAACCTGAAAACAATAAACAAAATGGCAATACATGTATACCTATCGATAATTAATTACTTTAAATGTAAAAAGACTACATTTTCCAATCAAAAGACAGAGTGGTTGAATGGATTTAAAAAAAAAGACTAACTACAGAATTAGGGACACACACAGACTGAAAGTGAAGGGATGGAGAAAGACATTCCAGGCTAATGGAAATGAAAGCTGGTGTAGCAAAACTCTTATCTGACAAAACAGACTTTAGAACAAATACTGTAATATAAGACAAAGAGCACCACATAATTATAAAGGGGTCAACCCAGCAAGAATATGTAATATCTATAAGTATATATGCATCCAACCTATGAGCACCAAAATATATAAAACAAATGCTGACAGGCCTAAAGGGAGAAACTGACAGCAATGTAATAATAATAGGGTACTGTATAACACCCCACTTATGTCAATGGACAGATCATCCAGAGAGGAAGTCAATACAGAAACATCAGCCTTAAACAACACATTAAACCAGATGGGCTTAATAAATATATATGTAACATTCCATCCAAAAGCAACAGAATGCACATTCTTCTCAAGTACATATGGAACATTCTTCAGGAGAGCTCACATATTAAACCACAAAACAAGTCTCAATAAACTCAAAAATTTAAATCATCAAGCATCTTTTCCAATCACAACGGTATAAAGAAGAAAACTAGCAAAACCACAAAAACATAGCAGTTAAACAACATGCTACTAAACAACCCATAAGTCATTGAAAAAATCAAAGGAGAAATAAAAAATTATCTAAAGACAAATGTAAACAGAAATATGATATACCAAAATCTATGGGATGCGGCAAAAGTGTTTCTGCTGGTAAGTTCATAACTGTACATGCCTCAAGACCTCAAGAAACAAGAAAAATCCCAAGTAAACAATCTAACTTCACACCCAAAGCAACTAAGAAAAGAACAACAAATAAAGCTTAAAGTTAGGAGAAGAAAGGAAATAATAAAGATCACACCAGAAATAAATGAAATAGAGACTAAATCACAGAAAAGATCAGTAAAACTAAGAGCTGGTTCTTTGAAAAGATCAACAAAATTGATGAACCTTTAGCCAGCTTCATCAAGAAAAAAGGAGAGAGGACTCAAAAAATAAAATCAGAAATAAAAGGTAACAACTGACACCACAGAAATACAAAGGACCCATAAGAAACTACTACAAACAATTATATGCCAACAAATTAGACAATCTGGAAGTAATGGATAAATTTCTAGAAACACACAATCTTCAAGGAATGAATCATGAAGATAGAGAAAATCTGAACTGACCAATTTCTAGTAAGGACAGTGAATCCTTAATCAAAAACTTCCCAGAAATAAAAGCCCAGGACCAGATGGTTTCACTGGTGAATTCTACCAAACATTTAAAGAAGATTTAATGCCCATTATTCTCAAATTCTTCCAAAAAATTAAAGAGGAGAGAATGCTTCTAAACTCATTTTACAAGGCCAGCATTACCCTGATACGAAAAACCAAAGACACCACCAAAAAAAGAAAATTACAGGCCAATATCCTTGATGAACAAAGATGCAAAAATCCCCAACAAAATATTAGCAAACCAAGTTCGGCAATACATTAAAAGGATCACACAACACCATGGTCAAGTGAGATTTATCCAGGGATGGAAGATTGATTCAACATCCACAACTCTACCAACATCATACAGCACATGAAGAATAAAAATCTTGTGGGCACCTGGGTGGTTCAGTTGTTAAGCAACTGCCTTCGGCTCAGGTCATGGTCCTGGGGTCCTGGGATCAAGCCCCATATCAGGCTCTCTGCTCCGCGGGGAGCCTGCTTCTCCCTCTCCCACTCCCCCTTGCTTGTGTTCCCTCTCTCACTGTGTCTCTTTCTGTCAAATAAATAAATAAAATCTTAAAAAAAAAAAGAATAAAAATCTTGTGATCATCTCAATAGATGTAAAAAAACATTTGACAAAATTCAGCATCCATCTATGATAGAAACTCTCAACAAAGGGAGTATAGGGGGAATGTACCTCAACACAATAAAGGGCATACTGACAAACCCACAGTTAACATCATTCTCAATGGTGAAAAAACAAAAAAGCTTTCCTTCTAAGATTAGGAACAAGACAACAATGCCCACTCTTGTCACTTTTATTCAATATAGCACTAGAAGTCCTAAGCACAGCAGTTAGGCAAAAAATTAATTAATAAAAAAATATAAACAAACAAAAGTCAGAAGTAGAAAGAATCGAAAAGGAAAAAGTAAAACCATCACTATTTGCAAATGACATGTTACTACAGAAAACTCTGAAGTCTGCATCAAGACACTGTTAGAACTAATAAATACATTCAGTAAAGTTGTAGGATGCAAAATTAACATACAGAAATCTGTGGTGTTTCTATACACTAATGAACAACTGTTAGAGAAATTAAGAAAGCAATTTCATCTACAATTGCATCAAAAAGAATAAAATACCTAGGAAAAATTTTTAAACAAGAAGGTGAAAGACCTGTATACTAAAAACTGTAAGACACTGATGAAAGAATTTGAAGACTCAAATAGATGGAAAGATATTCCATGCTCATGGATGGAAGAATTAGTATTGTTAAAATGTCCATATAATCAAAGGAATCTATAGATTCAATACAATCCCTATCAAAAAAAAAAAATTCTGATGACATTTTTCACAGAACTACGACAAATAATCCTAAAATTTGCATGGAACCACAAAAGATCCTGAGTAGTCAAAGCAATCTTGAGAAAGAACAAAGCTGGAGGTATCATGTTTCCTAATTTCAACTATACTAAAAGCTATAGTAATTAAAACAGTATGGTATGGGCACAAAAAAACAGACACACAGGTCAATGGAACAGAACTAAGAGTCCATAAATAAATCCACATATATAGAGACAATTGGGATAAATGAGCCAAGAACATACAATGGAGAAAGGACAGTCTCTCCAACAAATACTGCTGAGAAAACTGGTCAGCCAAGAACTAGACTGCTATCTTACACCATACACAAAAATTAACTCAAAATGGATTAAAGATGTGAATAGAAGACTTGAAACCATAAAATTCCTAGAGAAAAACTTATGCAGTAAGCTCTTTGACATCAATCTCGATGATGTGTTTGTAAATCTGATTCCAAAAGCAACAGAAACAAAAGCAAAAATAAACAAATGGGACTACATCAAACTGAAAAGCTTCTGTACAGCAAGGAAAATCATCATCAAAATGAAAAGGCAACCTACTGAATGGGAAAAGATATTTGCAAATCATATCCAATAAGGGGTTAATATCCAAACTAGATAAATAACATATGTAACTCAACAAATAAAAAAAAAAAATTAAAAATTAGGCAGAAGATGTGAATAGATCTTTTTTTCCAAAGCAGACATACAGATGGCCAGCAGACACATGAAATGATGCTCAACATCACTAATCATGCAATTCAAAACTACAATGAGATATCACCTCACACCTGTTAGGATGGCTATTATCAAAAGGCCAAGAAATAGCAAGTGTTGGTGAGTATGTGGAGAAAAGAACCCTCGTGCACTGCTGGTGTGAGTGTGAACTGGTGCAGCCACTGTGGAAAACAGTACATAGATTCCTCAAAAATTAAGAACAGATCTACCGCATGATCCAGCTTTTCCACTTCTGGGTATTTATCCAAAGAAAATGAAAACACCAATTCAACAAGATATATGTACTCCTATAGGTTCACTGTAGCATTATTTACAATAACTAAGATACAGAAAAAACCTAAATGTCCATCAATAGATAAATGGATAAAGATGTGACATAAATAAACAATGGATTACTATTCAGCCATAAATAAGAACAAAATCTTGCTATTTGTGACAACATCAATGGACCC